AACCCTAGAGTGAGCAGCCTATGAGCATCTTCGAGACTCGCAACAGACGAACCTCCTCCTCCACCGCCTGCCGACGTAGAGCTATCCCCAATCGACCCACCATCAACAGCACGACGCTTGCCAGACCGCACTGCGTGAGAGAAGGGGCTGTGAGACATTGCCATCTGATGAGAATTTTTCAGCCCATCCATCCTCGCATCTGTGGCCTTCTGGGCCTCCTGGATCTGATTGAAACGATTCGACATCTCCTCGAACGACTGACCTTGGAGCGCCACCGTCGCACTGAGCCCGGCCGTGCGATCACCCATCATCTTCGAGGTGGCGGCGAATTGATCCTGCAGCATCTTCTGCATTGCTGCAGCGCTCGCCATCGCGGGATCTGAGGATCGGAGAAACAGAGAGTAGGGGAGCTCGCACACAAGATGAAATTAGTTTTATCGGAGCCTCCTGAGGCAAATCACCTCGAGCCAGGCCCTCGGCTGCGACCAAGCACGAAGCGCCAGGCCGCACGTTTCGCACTTGAGCCAAAATGGCTACGGATGATGCTGATGATGATGCTGATGATGATGGTGACGACGATGACGACGATGATTATGCTGATGCGTGTGATGATGAAGATGCTGCTGATGATGATAATGACGACAATGACGATGATGATGATGATGATGATGATGATGACGACGATGCGGATGATGATGCTGATTGGGACGGTGCTGCTGCTGATGATGATGATGATGATGATGATGATGATGATGACGATGACGATGGCGATGATGACGATGACGCTGATGATGCTGAGGATGGCGGTGATGATGATGATGATGATTAGTGTTGTTCTTATTATGGTAATGAATCTGATGCTGATGCTACGGCTGCTGCTGATGATGATGATGATGATGATGCAGATGCTTATGCCGATGCTGCTGCTGATGATGGAGATGAAAGAGGAGGAAGAAGAGGAAGAGGACCTACTGGGGGCCTTTAAGTTAACTGCCGAACACGGCTGGCCCCTGCCCAAAACTACATGGAAACGAATGCAGAACTATTGCACATCCCCCCGCCGCTGCCTACGGCACCCCCCATGCTTTCTATGATGGGAAGGGGCCAATCCAGTGGGGGTCCCCATTCGGCATTTACATCAGCCTTGCGGTGCTCGGGGCTTAATCCTCTGAGAGGGGTCAGGGACACTTGCACCACTGCAGAAAACAAACATGGAGGCAAGCACAGAAGGCGAGGGACACTGTATTTATCTCGCCGCGGAATTGGCCTCCCCGAAGTGGGGTGCAGGAGGGAAGCCGATGAGCCGAGGACCAAGGCACAAGAGGGGGGGGAGAGGAGAGGCGAGCAGAAGAAGACAAGGAGGAGGGAAGCCGGGGCAGGCGGACAGGCGAAGCCATGCAGCTCTGTGTTTTGTGGACAGATGCCAGACTTTGTCGATTGTACCATTTTGGGATACTCTCCGAGTTGACGGAAAACTCCAACCCCGATCTATTGAGAAGTTGCCTCGTGCACGTCCTTCTCTTCAAAAGGGAGTTGCATGTTTGAACGTTTCCTTGCGGATGTCATATCATCGCCCTGGATCTCTCTCTCTCTCTCTGTATATCTACCCTCTATCGTATATCCATTTAGTTCTGGCGTGCTTTCCGTATCTCGCAACCTGTTTTTCCAGAGGCAAGACCGGCTGACAATGATGTTCCTGTTGTAATATGCGGCGGGCCCCCTTTCAATAACACAAGCTGCATGGCAATGCTTATTCCACCTCGTGTCCACTTGCTGCTGGTCTCTTCCACTAGCTGAGAAATGGCAATGTCAACGGCTTCTCCATATTCGCCTACGTGTCTGGGAACAGAACCAATGATGCGGGCGTCCAACACAACGTCTAAACACATGCTACTACTTTACGAATATGGCCCTCCGAACATTGACGTAAACGAAGAAACGGCTACTGAATGTTTTATTCCTTTGTTGCGGCCTCTTTGTCACCTATTGTTGAAAACGCTGCCGCATCCTTGTTATCCCCATCGCTTGGCACACATTATCGAGTCCAGGTGGGGAGGCACTTGTTGTAATCCTGGTGAACATAAGGGAGACCTCGCCCAACATCTAATATGTTGCTCGTGAAGCGCGTGTGATCGTTGAACTCTCTTGCGGCGCTTCGTACGATTAGAACTCCCAAAGGTCGCACCTGCAGGCGTCTATTTGTATGCCGTGTAGTGCATTGGCCTCCTGTGGTGGGAGGCTGATGATGTCCAACATCCATGGTTAAATCTTGACGTCTTATGTGCAACATTCTTGCAGGTCGCAAGCAAGTCGTTTGATTATGGAACGGCGACTGAGGAGGAGGAGGAGGAGGAGGAGGAGGAGGAGGAGGAGGAGGAGGCGAGGCGAGGCGAGGCGAGGCGAGGCAACGCAATGCAAGCCAAGACCAGGGCAGTTGCTGTCTCCTTCTGTGGACGCTCACCTCTAATGGGTGGGTGCGAGGAGGGGACGAGGAAGAGGAGTAATAGGAGAAGGATGCCTTCACATCGGCCGCGTCAACCAGCATACCAAGAGAAACGCGGCTTTACCGCCGCCCGTGTAAACCTCATCTCCAGTCGCCCCTCGCCCAGGTGAGGAAGGGGTGCGACCCCGCGGAGAGCCCGCGACTGGCAGAAGGGTCGGCTCTCATAATCGGCCGAGCGGCCCCCGCCCCAGCCAGGCCCGGCCCGCTCCAAACCCTCAGCGGGGCGTTGTGCCCGCGCATCCGGCGCGCACGCATCGCATCTCAGCCTCCTCCTCCTCCTCCTCCCTCCTCCTCCTCCCTCCTCCTCCTCCTCCTCCTTCCCTCCTTCCCTACTTCCCTCCTCCCTCCTCCCTCCTCCCTCCTCCCCGAATCCGAGGCCGCTTCGTGAGGCCGTCGAGGGCCGCCTCGAAGCCGCCGAAACGCCGAGGCGAGGCGCCGGAGCGAGGCCGCCCCGAGTCCGCCTGCGGGCCGTCGAGCAGGCCAGGCGCCTCGAGGCCGCCAACGGCCGCCATGACGTCGCCGAGGGCCGGGGCCCCGAGCCCCCGAGGCGAAGGCGAGGACGCGCGCCTGGCTCTGTCGGAGACAAGCGCGCGAGCCATCGGCGGTCCAGCTCGGAGGCGACGAGGGGGGCGAGCAGCCCAGGGGGGAGCAATACAGGTATCCAAGAGCGCCGATGGTCCATGCCTCCGGCGAGGCTCCCGGGCGAATGCGTGTAACGCCCGCCCCTGCGCTATTCGCCCCTATCGTCACCTCCGACCAGCCGCCCCGCCGTTTACAGGAGGGCGGCGGCGCGATGACGCCGTCAGTCCGCCCGTCGGGACCTGGCCGCTGCCGAAACTGATGCTGCTTGGCTTCGCCGTGGAACCGCGAATGGGCCTTTCCAGACCGCCCGTCGGGCCCTGGCCGCTGCCGAAGCTGATGCTGCTGCCGTTACTGCCTGGCTTCGCCGTGGAACCGAGAACGGGCCTTTCCAGAGCTGCTGAGGGGGTGCAGCTGGCCCGTCCGCGTCAGTCTCCGCGGGCCATCATCTAAACGCAGCTCCACAAGTGCTCATCGCGGCCTGAGGGGGGCATGTGTTCTCGTCGTCGTCCTCCTCTCTGTCCCTCCCCCTCCTGCTCAGTCTTACTCCTCATACTGTCCCTGCCTTCCCTTCCGTTCCCTTCCCTTCCCTCCCTCTCATCCTCCTTCCTGCTCCAGTCCCTACCTCCGCCCTCCCCCCCCCTCCCTCCCTCGTTCCCTGGGCCCGCCCCATCCCCATGCACCACTCCCCCCCTCCCTCCCTCCGCCCCTTCCCCTTTCTCTCTCCCCGCCCAACTCTGCCGACCCTGTCGGCGTGTCTGTGTGAGAGAGAGGCTTTTCCGTTTTCGTCGTCGTCGCCGCTCCCCCCCAAGCGTTCCAGCCAGAGGGAGATCGAGCAACGGCGTAATCGAGTCGAAAGAAGCCCCTTCCCTTTGATCCCTCTTCCGCCGGTGTGTGGGGTCCTGGTGGTTGTGACCCCCCCCCGGAAGGAGCACCCCTCCCTGGGAGGGGCTTTCGGCTCCAGAGCGTCAGTTAGCATCGTCGTCGTCATCGCCGTCGTTGTCGTCGTCGTCGTCCCCCTTCAGAGTCGGCGGCACCGGCCGTAAGGTCTTCGCAATATCCGACGTCTTGATCTTTTAAACATGCGGAAATCCCGATGCAGGGCACTTTTACTTCCTCCTGGCCCGAGCCGCTCTTTGACGGCCCTGGGAGCCCGAAAACGGCCTTGGGAAGCCAAACGCTGAGAAAACTTCCGCCTTGATCTTCTGTGGCGTTGCTTTATGGGGGCAATCGACGCGGAGGAGTGAAGTAACGTGCACCCTTCGTGCTGCAACGCTCCATCCCCCCTCATTTATTGAGACGAAGCCAGGGCAAGGATTGAGACGAAGCCAAGACAAAGACAAATTCGGACCGGGTTAAATCAGGGGTCTCTGAGATCCGGCGGTGCTTGAGGATGTATCGGGCGCCGCGGCCTTCTCAGAGTGTTCTGGAACGCTCTGAGATCGCTCCCGAACGCTCTGGAACGATCTATCCCTGTCTTCGCCCCGTCCATGTATCGCCCCCCCGCTACGAGACGTCCGATTTTTCCCGACCCCGGACGTCTCTAGAGGACTCCCAGAGGGTCTCCGAGCAGATGGGGTCGAAGGATCAGGCCGCATCGCCGATGCATCGGCGACGCATCGGCGGGGATAAAATCGGGCTCCACATCGAGCCTCATCGCCGATGCATGGGCGATGCGGTGCGACCCTCCAGCCCCATCTGGGATCAAGTCGGGCATGTTTCCTGACAGGCGGATTTTGGGCGAAAAATACAAATACCCCCAACATATTCAACACTCAGCAAAAGATAACGGAAATATCGTCCCTAGACTACTTCCTTACCATTTTTGAACAATCCCCTGTAGAGGGACAGGCCCGACTTAAATCTGGGAGGCCCAGAATCTGTGCCCGCGACCAGCCGAGCGCGGATGCCCCGGAGCCTGCGGCCCCAGCGCGCCGGATGGCGTCCACCAGCCCGCCGGCGACGCCCGCGCCCGCGGCGGCGCAGCGCGCGGCGGCGGCGGCGTCCGAGCCGCTTCGGAGGGGGGAGGCGTCCCGTTCCGAGACGGCGCTGACGACGACGACGACGGCGACGGTGACGGTGACGGCGACGGCGACGGCAACGACGACGACGCTGGGCGGGGGGCACGGGGGCTTCCCATTGTGAGAGGAGGCGAGGGCAAGGCTTTCCGTGTTGAGATAGGACGAGAAGAATGCCATGAGGCGGTAGGCCCAGGATGCGTGCCGGGAATTCTGGGGTTTCAAACGGCCTTCGGCCATTGGCTTTCGGACGTTCGTCTCTGGCTGCGCGGGTGAACTGGAAACCCTGAAGTCTTGGAACGTATCATTGCCATGGCTTTTTGTTGCTCCTCTCTTGGAATCTGGGCAAAACGACGATTGGAAGCCCATCTTAGGGCTCTGGCTGCCGAAGAACGAATGCGCCTCGCGGTCCTGCACCCTCTGATGCGCCTCGAAAGCTCTGCGGCCTCGCCCTTGGCTCGAGGTCAGGGCACCCGACCAGCGAAGAGGGAGGGCGGAAGGGTGCCCCTCGAGGCGAGCTGCAGCAAGGGCAGGCTGCGCGCCCCTAACTGGGATAGGTCTTCGGAAAACTCCGCCCCCAACAGTGGGAACTAATCCCACTAACCCTCTGGGCGTAGGTGGTCTAACGAGATCTTCCTTTCCTCTTCCAAAACCCCTCTTCCCTTCGGGAAGGGGTACCCTTCCCTCCCCTGCCAGGGGTCTGGACGGGGGGGTCGCGAGTCATCAGGGGGCCCTCTTTCGCTCAAGATGGCTCCAAGAGGGCATCCGATGCTCCAAGATGGCCTCCCAGAAGGCTCCAGATAGCGCAAGATCGCGCAAGGCTCCAGATAGCGCAAGAGGGCCACAAGACGGTTCCAGGTGCCCTCAAAGACGCCTCAACACCTCCCCGAGAAGTCAAAATCCTTCAACAACCTATGAAAAGTCAATGATGTTTGCTTTTTCGCCTTTTGGCTTTCGATGTTTTGTTGAGGCGTCAAGGTGGCCCCAAGATGGTCCAAGCGCGCCCCAAGAGGGGGCCAAGAGCGTTCCAATATGCTATCTTGGATTGCCCACAATGGGGGGACTAAACGTTAGTACCCCCCTCTTTTCATCGACACCCTGCACGACAACCCCAAGAGGCCCTCCCAGGGCTCCTAAGAGGCCCCCAAGAGAGCCGCAAGAGAACTCCAAGAGGGCCCCATGAGGGCCCCAAGAGCTCCCCTTGCCCCACGCGGCCCCCAGGGATGGCCCACAGAGGCTTTCCAAGGCCACCCCGTTGCTCCCAGAGATCTCTCTGTTCACCCTGGCCACGCGCTTTGTTTCACTAGATGTGTCTCTTCGTCCCTTTTCCCGTCAGCTCTCTCAAGGTCAGGGCCTCTGAATGGGCTGGTGGGGACACGCGACGGAAGACGAGATGAAATATGAAACTGTGAGCAACGCCTTCAGCGAAGAATGTGCCGACCTATGTTGCAATCCTGTTACAAACGTGTTCAACATTCCTCTGTCGTGCAGGGTAGCCCAGGGAGCATCCCCTTGGAGAAAACACCCAACATTATACAGCCCGCCCAACATATATATCGGAGGTGAGGGGGTAAGATCGAAGTGGAACGGCGAGCCCCCCTACCGGGAAATCGATTTCGGTTTCGTGTTCGTGCGTGCCGTGCGGGCGAGGCGAAGCTGCGTGGGCGGGCGAGAGGAAGTCTCCTGTGGCTGAAGCGCGGCCGGACCAAATGACTCCCTTCCGGGCGGCCGGGGCCCCGCGGTGTCCCGCCGGTGTCCCGCTGGTGTCCCGTGTGGCTGAGGCGCGGCCGGACCAAATGATTCCCTTCCGGGCGGCCGGGGCCCTGCGGTGTCCCGCCGGTGTCCCGCGGTGTCCCGCGGTGTCCCGCGTGTCCCGCGGTCCCGCCGGTGTCCCGCGGTGTCCCGCGAGGATGATGATGATGATGATGATGATGATGATGATGATGATGATGATGATGATGATGATGATGATGATGATGATGATGATGATGATGATGTGATGATGATGAGATGATGATGAATGGTGTCCCGATGAACATGATGATGATGTTGATGATGATGTCGATGATGATGATAGTGTCCCGATGATGCGGATGATGATGCTCATGATGATTATGTTGATGATGATGACGATGATGGTGTCCCGATGATGATGATGATGATGATGATTCCGATGATGTTGGTGATGATGATGTTGATGGAAATGGTGTCCTGGCGATAATGATGTTGATGATGATGATGTTGATGATGATTATGGTGTCCCGATGATGATGCTGATGATGATGATGATGATGGTGATGCTGATGATGGTGATGCTGATGGTGTCCCAATGATGATAATAATGATAATGACGATGTTGATGATGATGATGTTGCTCATGATGATGATGGTGCCCCAATGATGATAATGATGATGATGTTGTTGATGATGATGATGCGATGATCATGATGATGATGGTGTCCCGAGGATGATGACGATGTTGATGATAATGTTGATGATGAGAAAGATGGTGATTATGATAGTGTCCCGATTATGATGATGATTATGATGATGCTGCTGATGATGATGACGATGACTGTGTCCTGGTGATGATGATGATGTTGATGATGAGATGATGATGGTGATGATGATGATATTGTCCCGATGATGATGCTGACGTTGATGATGATGTATATGATGATGATGACGGTGCCCTCATGATGATGACGATGTTGGTGATGATGTTGATGTTGATGATGTTGTTGGTGATGATGATGATGATGATGATGATGATGATGATGATGACGTTGATTGTGAGAGCGATTGTGATATCGATCGTGAGATCGATATTGAGACCGAATGTGAGATCGATTGTGTGATCGATTGTGAGATCGATTGTGAGATCAATTGTGAGATCGATCGAATGAGATAGATCGAGTGAGATCGATTGTGAGATCGATCGAGTGAGATCGATCGAGCGAGACCGATAGTGAGATCGATACTGAGATCGATAGTGAGACCGATCGAGTGAGACGTTGGTTTCCCCCCCCGAACCTCCTTATCACCCGAAGGGTGGTCGTATAGGTAAAGAAACGAATCCCCGCCGCGACGACGACGACGCTCACAACTACGACTAATATTACGACTACGGTTACGATTACAACCACGGCGACGATGATTACGACTACAATCACGATTTAAATCACTAATACAACCAGGACTACAATCACCACTACAACCACAACCACTGATTCCTATTGCAATCCTCATGCAGAGATGCTCACATATCCTCTCGCGTGAAGGGTCGCACACAAAACATTATTCTCTGGGTGAAAGACAGGCCAAACATTACCCTGCCCGCCCAACAATAGAGGTATACTAATAGGAAAAGGGAAGAGGAGGAGGAAGAGGAGGAGGAGGAGGTAGCAGGAGGAAGAGACGGCACGAGTTCCATTTCCCGCCGAAAGAAAAAAGGTGGGAACCGCAAAACTAAAGACCTTTCGAGGTGATTCCTCCTCCCCCCCGCCATGAAACAAATGAGGTCCTGAGCGGGGGGGGGGTCCTGACTTGTTTCGCCGGTTTTTGGCCTTCCTGGGCCCTCCACGGGGGTCATCAGATCAGGTCGATGATCGAAGGAGTGTTAGCGCCAGCGTGTTCTTGCCCACCGAGGCGCTTCAACACGACGCAGGCGGCGCAACGAGGGCCGACACAGGCTACACGTGATCGGCGGAGCCAGACAGGGTAAACATACGCTTATGCTAACACACGTCCTGAAGATCACCGATCAAGTCATCACATCAGATCACATCACATCCGGGGCAGGTTGGGGGGGCTCGGGGAGGGGGTCCATCCAAGCTAGGTGCGCTCGCGTCATATCTGACATCCTACCCCTCCCTCCCATCCCTTACCATGGCGTAGATCCCCTCTCTACTCGAACAGTCGGATGTCGAGCAGGGCAATGATCCCGAAAGGGTACGCGATGCATTGTAGAGCACGGCATGGCATGGCGTAGAAGAGCACCGCAAAGCGTAGTATGTCACAGCATGGCGTGGCGTGGCGCAGTGAAGAATTGCATCACAAAGCTTTGCAACGCAAAGCATGGCATCGCACAGCGGCCCCGAACATAACATTGCATAGTATGGCGTTGAAGATCACAGCGTAGCATGGCATAGCACGACGTGGCACTTAAGCACTGCATATCACAGCTTCAGCTGAAGGCATGGCATCGCGCAGCGGAACGCAACCTAGCATTGCATTGCATGCCGTGGCATGGCACGGGAAATGACGCCAGCGCTGCAGCGGGAGCACGATTCGGAACGAGCGGAAGCGCGGAAAGCTGCAGCGGGAGCACGATTCGGAACGAGCGGAAGCACGGAAATGAGGCCAGCGCTGCAGCGGGAGCACGATTCGGAACGAGCGGGGCCCGAAAATGAGGCCGGCACCTCAGCGAGAGCAGCATTTTGAAAAAATGCAGGCGAAAACCCAACTCCGGGGAATCCTGTGTGTAAAAAAATGGTACGCGGGGGGGGGGGGGGCGAACACTCCCAACCCGTCATCAGGGAAGGAGGAGAGTAGTATTCATATTGAGTAATTGTAGATCAGGGGGCCGAGAGAGGGTGGAAGTAGGCCCCTCGAGGCGAACTAACTACGCGTACAACCCAGACATCCAGCAAAACGAGCAGACAATGCGGCTGGCTTCGTCATTTTTGGTCCACCGAAGCCGATTTCGTGCCACGGGACCGCCAGAAACCACTCCGGGACGAAAACCGTGCTCTTGGGAGGAGGTCGGGAGGTCTGGAGGACCTAGCATAAAACTAAAGCAAGCCCAGGGGGCCGCCGTCCGCTTGAAGATGGAAAGGGGCCGAACGGCACGGGCAATAGGACTGCTAGAAGCTCAGATGGGAGAGGGAGGAGGAAGCCCCTGTAGTTAGGTCGGGCCTGTCCCCCTACAGTGGGAATTTTGGGCGAAAAAATACAAATACTCCAAAGATACGCAACAAAAGATCAAAAATAGTAAAACAATCGTCCCCGTACTATTTTTTGACTATTTTTGAATCTTCCTCCTGTAGAGGGACAGGCCCGACTTAACCCTATTAGGGGAGAGGGCGGGAATGAGAGGGGGTGTGGAGGACGAGCGCTCAGCCGGGTGGTGATCCGCCACGGCCCCACCGCGGCGCCGGATGGAGGGCACTGTGCCTCCTCTTCCGCTGGCTCGCTGTGGCGCCTCTCGCATCGGCTGAGCCGGCGAAATGGCAAGTAGCTTTCAACACATCCGGGCTCGACTGGGACCCCTGCGGATGCTGGGGGGAAGGGATGGGGGAAACTGAGCGGGGGATGATGGGGTGAGGGGGAGGGTGACAAAGGGAGGCGGGAGGAGATGGATGGGGGGCTGCTAGAGAAGGGAACGGGGAGAGGGGTCGGACCATACCCTCTCATCCCCACCCTGCCCCTTTCTCCCTTGCACCCTCGGCAACCGAGGTCAAATCACAGATCGCGGCGACCCTCCAAAAAATGGAGGTTGCTCCATCTGAAGACGGTGCCCTACCTCACCCTGGCAGTCTCGTTACTCCTGCTGCTGCTCCTCCTCCTCCCCAGACTCCCGCCATTCTGACGTTTGAGTGCGTGGGTGCGGCTCCGTGCTAGCTCCTTCCGAACATGGATGCCCCGCCGTGGCCTACTTTTGGCGAGCAGCGCCCGACGCGGGCCTCTGGACACCGTGAGGAACTGTGGCTGCCGAGTCCCGGCGGCGGTCCCGGCGACACGCTTGGTCCTGCGAGCTGATGGCGTGTCGCTCCAACCAGCGGGACCGGAGGCCTGGGAAATGCTGCGGACCTTGGCGCTTTGAGGCTGAGGCGTGCTCAGCGTGCCGCGCCGAGGCGCGGAGGGCCCGATCTGGCGGCGCGACGCGCCAAGCAAAAGTTCCCGACCGTATCCAAACTCAACAACTGGGGCTTGCCAAAGGTGCCCCCGGCTCAAGGTGCCCCCAGCTTCTCGCTCGATTCTGGAGCCCTCGGGGCCCTCTGGGCCTCGTGAGGGGTGCTCTGGAGGCCGTGGGGCCGCGGGGGCCTCCTTGGAGATCCTGGGGCCACCTTGGGCCAGGGGTATTTCTGTAGCAACACTGGAATCAGAAGAGTCGGCGCTTTTATGGCCCGCTGGAGGTCTGGGCCTCCTCCCCAGGCCCCCGACACTATGCTGCTCTGTCACGACGTGGGCCCCTTGAGCCCTCGACCCCGTCCCCGTCCCCGGCGCTCGTCCCGAGTGGACCTTGGACGGCCCCAATGGGGCCCGAAGCAGAGGGGCTCCCAGCACGGCCGCAAGGAGAGGCCAAGCTGGTGCAGGTGCGCGCCGAGAGGGCTCCGAGGCAGGCCGGCCGCGCGGGTGCGGCCAGGGAGACAAAAAGGTGTCGATGCCCCGCTACTCCGTGGACCTCTCCTGTAGCGCGTTCTGACCAAGATTGCAGGGCGAATCCGTCCGTGGCGACGAGGGATAAGGGTAGCAGTATCGATCTCTTATCCTCCCCTGAGCGGGTGCGAGAGGCAACGATGGGGGGGGACTGGCTCAGGGGGGAGAATCATCGACCTGGAACCGGCGATACAAGTCCGCACGCTCCTGGGCGGGGTGGGGCTATCAGACCCCTATCAGCGATCAATGGGCGACTGGGGGTCGATGCGTTTCCCCCTGCGCCCATTCCCCCTAACGTTACCCCGTGGTTTTCGGGCCATAACTCGGCTCTCCAGCGGCCGTTCGGGACGATTCTGGCGCCCCCAGACCGCCCTCGACGAGGCAGAGCTGATGGAAACCATTCCTGGGCTTCGAAACCTCCCGAACACTTTCGAACTGAATCATCGGTTGGGGGTCGATGCAATGCCCCCTGAGCCTATCCCTCCCTATCGTCACCCCTGAGGGTGCCCGCGGCCCAGACTGTGCAACGGGATTGCGGCTGCGGGCGCACGCGTGTGCTGCCAGGCCGAGGTTGCGTGTGCGGGCGCGGGCGCGTGGAGGGGCTCGCTCGGGCGCGGGGGCCTCCCAGGGGGGCGGGGACAGCGGCGGCGTCGCTCCTGGTCCTCCTCCTCCCTCGTCGGCCTCTCTCCTCGGCCTCCTCCAGTTCCTTCTTTTCCTCCGCCTTCGCCTTTTCTTTTCTTCTTCTCCTCCTCCTCCTCCTCCTTCTCCTCCTCCTCTATCCCTCGTGTTCCGCCGCATCCTCGGCCTTCCCAGACGACGACGACGACGACGACGACGACGACGACGACGGGCAACGACGGCAGCGGTGACGACGGGCGGCGGCGGCGACGGGCCACGGCGGCGGGCGACGGCCGCGCCTGGCCAGCCAGGTGTTGAGCTGCCGCAGGAGCTCCAGCGCCGGCTCGGCTCCCCGGGCGTCCAGCCGCTCCAGCGACCGGCGCAGCCTCGGGCGGGGGCGGAGGTATCGACCAGTGGGGGGTGCGAGGCGGGGATGATGCCCCAATCAGTGCTTGCACTGAAGGGGTCCTCGCGGAAATTGAAAAATTTGGCGAAAATGTCCCGCCGATTTTGGTCGCACGCTGAGTTCCCGGGTTCCGGGGTTCCCAGTTCCTGGTTCCAGGCCGAGTTCGGAGGGCGGCGAGGTTCCCGGCTTCCTGGTCGATCTTCTTATCGATCGGTCTCACCATCGATCTCATTACCCACTTCTCTATCGATCTCACTATCGATCGCACAATCGATCTTACTATCGATCGCACAAGCGATCCCACTAGAGATCGCATGAGCGATCTTGCGATCGATGCCACTATCGATCTCATTGAATCGATTTCACCCTCGGTCTCACGGTCGACCTTACAGTCGTCCTCGCTATCGATTCCACTATCGATCTCATCATCGATCTCAAGATCCACAGTATTAATTTAAAAATCATCCACCTAATTGGGTCTCCTCAGGTGTAATCCGTATCCACCGTCTGGGAACCGACGTCCTGGCGCCCCAGCGGGCGGTGGATATGGATATATTTCGGCCCCTGGGGGCCCGAAAATGTCCATATCCACCGCCTGCCGAGGCTACGAAAGCTGACCCTCCAGGCGGTGGTCATGCAGAAAATCCCCGCCTCGGAGGGGAGGAGGACAAACAGGCACCCATCGGAGGACAAACAGGCACCCATCGGGGCCAACATCCACCTCAGCGCAGAGAAGCAGCCCCAAGGTCGACACGACTGCCGCGATCTGCGAGCCTCCAGCCCGCCCACACCTCACAGAGATCCAACAAGCCCTGAATTCCGAAACGGAACTGCCTTGGGAATCCCAGGAGACGGGCTACAAATCCTGCAGAATTGGATTCAAATCCCGAGTTACGAAAACCCGTGAGGATGTCACGCTGGGTGCGCGCACGCTTGGAGGGAGAAGGACGGGACGACGTCAGAGGCTCAAAGCGAGGAAGAGGAGAAGAGGAGACGGCCTGGGCGGCAGGTAGCATGCGGGCCTCAGCTGAGGGGAGAAGGAGGAGGAGGAGGAGGAGGAGGAGGAGGAGGAGGAGGAGGAGGAGGAGGAGGAGAAGGGGGAGGAGCAGGAGGAGGAGGTGGGCTGAGTTCGACGAACTCTGTAGCCACAAGGAACCAGGAACCAGGGGAGGAGGAGAAGGAGGGGGACGAGGAGGAAGAGTAGGAGGAGATGGAAGAGGAGGAGGAAGAAGATCAAGAGGAAGAGAGAACTGCAGTTCACCCTCCCGTCCCAAGTCCCTTCCCCACACGTGCCCACAAGCATTCTTGTTCGCAGTAAGAAGCGCCTCCTTGAAAAAAACGCACCCTGGGGGCCTGTCGTTCAGGCGGGACTTCCGTCTAACTACGCTGCATCCTTCTAGCGGGCCAGAGGGAATGCGAAACAATATGGACACACAGTTCAACAGGGTGTCCAACGAGATCCCCGTGTTGAGAAAGGACCGCCTGCACTGTTGCAACTGTTGCGTAACTTTGTGTCCCTGGTAATGAACTCCGGGCTCATGGACGCATTGAGTTGGTAAGCAACTTGCCAATCACAATGGCAACTTACTTGTAACGGAGGTGCCCCTTTCAAAGAAGGAACTAACCTTAGAGCAACACTACGGCGATCTAGTCCCAAAGGTTGACCAAAGCACGCAAATTCTGTCAAACGATAATGGCACACCAATCGACTCAACACTCTTTGTACCTAGTCTGGGTGGTGGCCTGACAATGACGGCATTTCAGGGACGCATCACGCAATACCATCAACACTGAGATGGTGTGGCACCAGTTCGTTTCGATTTTGGCAATTGGCCAATCATGGGTCACGTACTCTGGTTGACAGAGTTCACCTTCGATGAACACACACAACTGGCGATGTCGAGCAATCCATGTTTATATTTGCACTAACATGCCAACGCCTAACAATCAAAACACGTCACGCAGGACACATGTAGCAACACGCCAATGTCTGCATTGCCACCGCTACCAACAATAACGAACACAAAGGATGAACCTGTCCAACTGATTTGGCAGGGGTGTGCTTATGAACAATGTTGCACGCAACATTATTCTGGTGACAACGCGTCGCCCGCCGTGAAGCAGTACATTGTAAAGAAAGCCCCATCATCGGTGACAGAACAGAAGGTCCCAACCTTACCGCCAATCACAACCTTTTACAACGGAGTAGGCACTTCACATTATTGCCAAAGCATTACGCCAAACCATGTTGCAGGTTTCTCATACTCTCCCTGAAAAAAGGTTGCCCACGTCCAAAGCGTGGCTCGCTTTTACAAACGCATTACACACAGGTGATCACTGCGAAACCACTCGAACATGGCAACATGACAAACTTTTCCGCGGCCGCCTGGATACCGCACATCACATGCGATTCGAACTCCAACCAACGCCACTTACCACATCTGCGTCATCTTACCTCATCGATGTGATCCATGTTGCGAACATGATCAAGTATACATCGAACCTGGTGCCAATTCTTGTCACCGCAACACGCATGCTGCCAAATCCGCCACCGTGCCCCAGGGCACGAAATTTAGTGTCCTCAGAAACCTTGCTCACTTCCCTGAACCTCAGTCCCCAACCGTGAATAAAAAAAGCCCCGGGCACCAAATTGCCAAAATCTGTTCGGCGTGGCGAATGTAGTCGCGTGATTTTGTCGGGCCTAAGAGGGCCCCAACAAGGACCAAAATCAGTTCAAGAGGCCCCCTTAACGATTAAAGAGGGCCCCGAATTACCGAACGGTCGGTCCCCAACGCCCAAGATGGCCTGGAGACGGCAGACGAGGCGCCCGGGGCGCCCCAAGACGCTCCCCCAAGAGGCAAACGTTTTTCCTCCAACTCCGTGAGGAAAGCGTGCAATTTTTAGCACTTGCGACTTTCCGGCCTCACGGCGTCCATCCTGCAACATCATCCTTTTCTTCGCGCGGAACAACACGAATAATACATTATTATTCGTAGACGCCCACAGCGAATCACCGCCGCCCCCTGCCTTTTGGGAGCGCCCATGTGGCCGAACGTTGTCACCGAAGCTCGGCAACGCTACAGGACTATATGTTCCCCCAGCCGTTGAAGAAACCCTTCGGGGAACATGTGGGAGAGAAAGAAGAAGAGGGGGAAGGGGAGTAAAATAGAGGACGGGGAAGAGGAGACGAAGGAGCAGGAGGAGGAGGAGGAGGAGGAGGAGGAGGAGGAGGAGGAGGAGGCGACGAGGACGAGGAGGAGGAGGAGGAGGAGGAGGAGGAGGAGGAGGAAGAGGACGTGATGTGTTGGCCTCTTGGGGGCCTCTTTGGGGCACTCTTGTTGCCTCCAGGAAGCTTCCGGGGGCCTCTGGGAGGCTCCTGTGGGGCTTCTTTGGGCCTTTCGGGGGCCGTTGGAGGCTCTCTGGGAAGCTCTTCGGCCGTCTGAAGGCGCGGCTGGCCCGTCTGACGCCGTCTTGTGGCCTCTGGGCCGAATTGGGGCCCTCGGGGCGCTCCAAGATCGGGGATCCGCTGACCCGGGTCAATCCAGACCCGGGTCAGTCGGGCCTTGCAGGATCCTGCAAGATCCTGCACCCAAACCCGGGTCCATGCGACCCTGGCCCTGCAAGATTCTGCAAAATCCTGCAGCATCCTGCACCCAGACCCGGGTCAATGCGACCCTGGAGCTGCAGGATCCTGCAAGATCCAGCGCTCTGGCTGACCCTCGTTTGCATTGACCCCCATCTCTTGAGCCCCGACAAGAACGTTTTGGACGTCTCCCGGGCCGTCTTGGGGCCCTCTTGTCGGCGGCGCGCCCACGGGGGATGAGGCAGGGGCGGGCCTGCTCGTAAGGCTCCGAAGGCCTTCGGCCTTCTGACCAGCTTTCTAAGACCCCCCCCGAAGACCCAGCAAAAAACCTCTCAAACGCGCGCGGGCTTCTGAGAAGCCCCGCCGCCTTCTGAACCTGCCTTGTCCTTCTCGCTCCTCCCCCTCGCTCGCCGCCGATTTGGTCGCCGTCTTGGGGGCCTCTTGGGCCGTGAGAGAGGGCCATCTCGGAAGCCTCCTGGGCACTCTTGGGGCCATGTTGGTGACCTCTGGAGCAGTCTTGGGCCTTCGGAAAGCTGAAAATTAGCAAGCGCCTAACCCAATCCTTCAACCACGCAAAAGGGCATCACTTGCATTGGCCTCTTCGGGCCTTCCTGCACTTCCTGTCGAGCAGATGCTGCGACAGGCGCCTTCAGCACCGCCGCAGAACTGCCAGCCCCTCCGTGCGCACTGGCCGCATCGACCTCTTCGACGCTCTCGAAACCTGTCTACGCTCTCCTAGGCGTCTCAGCTGGACGACCCAACGGCGGACGAGCTAGGCATGGCCATGCAAATCTCAGAGTCGAGTTGTCTTTAATTCTAGCCTTCTCATTTCCGGAGACAGCTCTCCGAACACGGCCAGGAATCGGATCAGAGCGGGAGGCAGAGACCCCAGGAGGGAACGAGGGCGAAGAAAACACATTTTGCAGGACCCCAGGAACGACCGTGGTAACAACCCCACTGAGGAGAGGAGGAGGAGGAGAAGTAGGAGGAGGAAGAGGAGGAGGAGGAGGAGGAGGAGGAGGAGGAGGAGGAGGAGGAGGAGGAGGAGGAGGAGGACGAGGAGGAGGATGAGGATGAGGATGAGGATGAGGATGAGGAGGAGAGGAGGAGGAGGAGGAGGAGGAGGAGGAGGAAGGAGAAGGAGTATGAGGAGGAGGGAGGGAGGGAGGGGAGGGGAGGGAGGGAGGAGGGAGGGGGGGTGCGCTCGCGTCATATCTGACATCCTACCCCTCCCTCCCATCCCTTACCATGGCGCAGATCCCCTCTCTACTCGCACAGTCGGATGTCGAGCAGGGCAATGATCCCGAAAGGGTACGCGATGCATTGTAGAGCACGGCATGGCATGGCGTAGAAGAGCACCGCAAAACGTAGTATCAACCTAGCATTGCATTGCATGCCGTGGCATGGCACGGGAAATGACGCCAGCGCTGCAGCGGGAGCACGAGTCGAAACGAGCGGAAGCGCGGAAATGAGGCCAACGCTGCAGCGGGAGCACGATTCGGAACGAGCGGAAGCACGCCAGAATCGGCCCGGGAGGCTTCCCGGGCGCCAAAAGCAGAAATTCAACATTTTCAAAGGAAAAATGTGTATTGGAATGGTTTTTTTTCGGCGCCGCCTCGGAACTCGATTTTCCGGCGCCGGCCGGAACCGGCTCCGGACCCGATCCGGCCCCGGCCCGGGCGCCGGCTCGGGCGTCTGGCCCGGGCGCCGACCCGGGCGCCGGCCCGGGCGCCGGAATCGGCCGGGAGGCCTCCCCAGAGGCTCACGCATCTTGATAAAAAACCAGGTGTAGTTGATTATCATGCCGTTCGTGGCAATATCATGCCAATCTTCTTGATAATATCATATCACGTGAATCAGTGAGCGCAGGTTTGAGCCCATGCGTGAAGTTTATAGCACACGTTACCAGCAGAGGGTTGAGCCAAAATGGCTAAGAGAGGAAGCGGGGCTTTCCTTCCCCCTCCTCCTCCTCCTCCTCCTCCTCCTCCTCCTCGTCTTCCCCTCCCATCGTCATCGTCTTTGTTTCTCGTTCTCGTTCGCCTTCCTCTCCCTCCGCCTCCTCCGCCTCCTCCTCCTATTCCTTCGCCTCCTCCTCGTCGTCGTCGTCGTCGTCCTCCTCCTCCTCCTGCTACTACTCCGTCCTCCGTCCTGCTCCTTGCTCCGTTCTTTGTCCTCTGTCCTCCGTCCTCCTGCTCCTGCTCCTCCTCCTCCTCATCATCATCCTCCGCCTCCTCGTCTTCCTCCTCCTCCGCCTCCTCCTCTTCCTCCTCCTCCGCCTCCTCCTCCTGCTCCTCCTCCTCCTCCTCCTCCGCCTCCTCCTCCTCCTTCCCATCCTCATCTTCCTGTTCCTCCCTCTCCTCCTCCTCCTCCTCCTCTCCTTCTCCTCCTCCTCCTGTTCCTTTTCCTCGTCCTCCTCCTCCTCCTCCATCATCATCATCATCATCATCATCATCATCATCATCATCATCATCATCATCATCATCATCATCATCATCATCATCATCCGATCCCTCTTCCTCATTCTCCTCCTCCTCCTCTTCCTCGTCCTCCTCTTCCTCCTCCTCCTCCTCCTAGTTCCTCCTTCCGCTCCCTTCGCGTCCGCCCCATCCGCCTCCCTTACCCCTTTACTCCCCCTCGCTCGTCCCCCCTTCCTCCTACCCTCCCCCTTCCCCTCTCTCTTCCCGTCCTCCCCCTCCCTCGCGGCGGGGGAGTGGCCGCAGCCTGCGCAGTGACGAGCAGGTCGACGTGGGCGGGGGGCGGCGTGCCGCCGCAGCCGTCGTCGTCGTCGTCGCTGCCGCCGCTGTCGTCGTTCGTTGTTCGTCCTCTCCTTGCTCCGTCCTCCTCTTTGCTCCGTCGTCTGTCCTCTGTCCTCGTCCTCCTCCTCCGCCTCCTCCTCATCCTACTGTTCCCCCTCGTCCTCCTCCTCCTCCTGCTCCTCTTCCTCGTCCTCCTTGTCCTGATGTTCATGATGACGGTGTTGTGATGACGGTGTTGGTAATGATGTTCACGATGATGATAATAATGCTGTTGAGCATGATGACAATAATACTAATAATGATGATGATGATGATGACGATGATGATGGTGGTGATTATGACGATGTGTTTTCATCAGTCATCCTCGAAATAGCAGTGAAGCCATTTGAACAGGACGGAGTACGCCATTGTGGCTGGATGGCACCCCTCTGCGATGTCCACCATATGGCCGACGAGGTCCTCGTCGGCGTAGCACCACCAGTACCGCGCGTTGCCCGATAGGACACATTGTATTTCGCATAGGTGTTCCCACAGGTGAAGCTTTGGCGACATTTTCCACAACCGTTCGCCACGATGAAAGGCATCGACCGATAACTGTGCGTACAACTCTGCAAGTTTCTGCCCCAACTTTGGCAGCTCTGTCGTCGCATCCTCTGAACAAAATTGGGACTCTTGTGACAATATCTCATAGAAGCGGCACAGCAGTTCACATATTGCACGCACCCTATTGTCATGCACAGTTCCAGTACCAAACGCACGGACAACTTTCAAAGCATATCCAGCCATGTGTCGAATCGCAGCGGCTTTTCCTCGGAGTTTTGGCCACGACCCTTGTTTGCGAATATCTTCAAGCTTTAGACGGCCTCGTAGGCGACCTGAGCATTTTGTGTCCTTGTACCATCTGGCGAGGTCGTCTGCTAATCGTGACACACGGTCTGCGTAGGTGGCGCCGCCGAAGCAACCGCGCAGCACGCAGAATACGAAGAGGGTGTTGCCGATGATGTGAGCGGCAACGCCCAGATCGACCGTGTGCAGAACGTCGATCATTATGCACTCCAGTCTCATGCCAATCGCTTGGCTGAGCAGGACAGGAACTGCAAGACCAGACTCTCTCAAAAATTGCACGTAACCCTCATGGGTCCAAATTGTATTGCGCCAAGGGGCATCAGCATTACAATTTGTCCAAGACAGATGCCTGATAGTCGATGATGCACGGCGCACGAAACACATTCTTTCGGCAGCGTTCCATTGAGGGAAATAGAAACACTCTTTGAAGAACGCCCAATCGCCCCGACACTGGCACAACAAAGCTCGCCACTCTCCTGCTAACTGGCCTCCAGACTGAAGTACTGCTCGACCCCAAGGGTCGTGGGTAGGATGTTTGCCAGTTGATAGCGCATTCATTGACCATGCAAGTATTTTGAGTGCACAATCCAAGGAATCTGCAACCATATCATTCTTTCTCAATACTGTGAACACAAAGCGTTTGCGCACTGTCGGGCCATCACCTAATAACGAGTTCCAACTTATCGTGTACAAAGAGTCTTGTGCCGAGAACGCCCCAGCGTCCGCGTGCATGCCGATCGGAATAGAGCGGGGCCAACTCGCTTCAGGCAGACACGGATGATGACGCAGGAACGCACTACTTCGCATCCCGATCCAAAATTGGCGACAAGCCCCTGGCGGCCCAGACATTTTCGCTTTCCATTTTTCAGGGCATTCCGAAAAGAAGCTCGAGAAGAACTTGTGGGGAAGCAGGAAAGGATGCGGGGTCTTCCTGGAGCTGCGCGTCGGTATCTCAAACCAATCCATTTCGGGTGCCCCACGAGGCAAGCCCAGAGCAGATCGCATAGATCTGAAAATGTTCTGGGCGTGTCGGCCTGCAGTGCCCATGTTGGCCATCCTGTCGCAGCCGTCGGCCCCTTGTTTTGCGGCTCCCATCGAGATCTCTTGCACGTCTTTCGAGCTGAGCTTACCTTTCGCCCATCTTGATTTCAAAGCTCTGTTGAGAGGGAGCCGTGACTCTGCTGAACAACACGAACCTGGAATTGCCGCAGTCTCGTCTGATATAGCCTCCAGTATCCTCTGCCGATGCCCACCGCTCCTGCGGTAGCTGGGATCTGCTTGCAGGTCTGACTCATCGCCTTCGGGGGGCTGTGCATGTTCAGCCAATCGCCTCTTCAAGCCACCGCCATCAACCGCATGCAACAAAATGTAGAGTAATAAAAAACACCCTGACATGTAGAACTTGGCACGAAGCTTGAGCCAAAACGGCCACGGATCCAGGAGCAGGAGGAGGGAGGGGGAGGGTAAGGATGATCACGCCATGGGTCTTGTCTCTGTTCGGCTGTGTCCCGTGCGTTTGATATCGGGGCGCAGGTTGCGTGGGGCCTTAGCAGGGCCGCCGTGCGAGCGAGGAGCGCACTTTATCATGCGCCAGCGAGGTTTCGAAGCATTTCGGAGAAGGCAGAGCGACACTAATTTCGAAGAAGGCTGAGCGATACTGAGCTTGAAAGTGGAGGGGAAGGAGGATCAGGAGGAGGTGGACGAGGAGGAGGAAGCGCGGGGAAAGAGGGAAGGGGGCGGAGGACGAGATGAGGAACATATGAGCGAGAGGAGTGTTCGGGAAGCCCTCTTGGCCGTTCTTAGCGCTCGGGGGGTGGCACCTAAGCATTTGGGGATCACGCCGACGATAAATACGATGCTATTTTTCAAATGGGTTTGGATCTCGAGCCCCACTCGATCTTTCTCACGACTGCGGCGCCACGTCTTGTTGCGGCTTACCCTACAACGCGCTGGCGGACCTCGCAGCGTGCAGTGCGTCATCGACTGAACCTCTGGCAACGCGGGGGTAGGAGAAAGACCTTTCACGGACTGGGTAGACTCGGAGAGTTGGCAGAGGAGGGCGGGCAGTCGAGAGCTCCGTCGCACTGAATACCGAAAAGGCGCGGCTAGCCAACCTCTCAGCTAGACGTCTTGGCGCGCTTCCTCCTACCTGTGCCGTCGGGCTGGTAATAGCCGAGCTTCACGGCCCACCCTTTCAGGTCGTCGAACTCTTTGTCGATTGCGTCGATCGTCCCCACCAGCTGGGGGATGCCAGCATCGTCTGGCTCGTCCTTGATCATCTTCTCCAAGATTGACACGGTGCGAACGACTTTCTTCAAGGTCTTGGACAGGTCTGTGTCCAAGAAGGCCGCGTATTTGTCGGTCTTGGTCTTGGCGCTCACCACCTTTTGGATCTTGTCCAGCTGCGTCTTCTTGTCCTGGTAAGTCCTCAGGAAGATGTCTGGCGTAGACTTAATCTCCTCACACCTGCCGCGTAGCACCTCAAGCTCCGACTTCGGCTCAACCTTGATTGGCACCTGAGTGCTCGAGGAGCTTGCCACGCCCATGGTCGAAGCTTCCGCAATGAGCTCATCGTCGCCATCGGCCATCTCCCTGCTGACACTCGTCATCAGTTTGTTGATGTCGTGCTCGTCCATGGTCTCCCACTCCACGGGGATCTTCCAGTCGCGATGCTCGAAGTCCTCCTCCTTCTCGCCAAGTCCAGTGATCGGGTCGGGCCTCCAGGTGACCTTGCCAGAAGCCCTCCACGCAGTCGCCTTTCTCTCACCCATCTCGTCGTTCATCTTCTTCTCCGACCACCAGTAGTGGGTAACGCCCTTGCCCTTGTCGGTGAGCACCTCGCGAGTCGCCACCGTCTGCTTCTCGCCCTCCTTCGCCTTCGCCTGGTGCGCCATGAACCAGATGAGGTACTTCTCCTTGTCCTGGCCAACCGCGTTCTTCACCTTGGCGTCTGGGTTGTTCTTGAGGAAGTTGGCGAGGCTACCCTCGCGAGAGCGTCTCTCGGCCCTGGACAGCCCATCCAAGAGTTTCTTCGCCTTGTCGACCTCATCGGCAGAGGGCTTGGTATCGCTGAGCGTCGCGGGCGGGAGTTTCTTCGGCATCTCGCCCGAAGCTGAATGAGAAGACGCTTGCCCGAAGCTTGAGCACAAATGGCTACGGGTATTTGGAGGCATTGGTGTTGTGTCAGGGGGAGAGCTGGAGGGGCAGGGGGTAGCTGGAGGAGTTCCAGGGGGCCGAGGGGAAGCCCTGGGTGGAGGGAGCGGTAGTTGGAGGAGTTCTAGGGGACCGAGGGGAAGCCCTGGGTGGGAGCAGGAGGTCAGCGACGAATCAGTCGTCTCAAGCGTGCAGATCTGCACGTCGAATCGGTCTGTTCACATTGCCACCAAGGGGTGTCTGGAAGGGGTGGTGTCAAAAAATGCAAAAATGCAAAAATGTATTTTTGCATTTTTGCATTTTTGCATTTTTGATCTGAATGATTCTTTTTACAAAAATGCAAAAATGCATTTTTGCATTTTTGCATTTTTGACGCCACCTCTTCCGGGCACCCCAAGGCGAACCTGCACCTCTTCCGGGCACCTTTCATCACTCGACTCTCTCAGGCGCGCCTGATCGCAACTCCCAGCAGGCTGGCCTGAAAATGCGGAGCGTTCCGATATCTACATGCACTCAGCTCTGCTTCGTGCGCTTGGTAGGCGGAGCGTCCTTGCTGGTGTCCAAAGCCGTGTCCGAGTCGCCGTCTTTGACCTTGTCAAACTCGCTCTTCAAGGAAGCCCACGTCGCCTTGAAACCTGATACGCTCTGGCAAACATCTCGAACCTCGCCCTCCTCGAAGACGCTGACGGGAACCCTGCGAGCCGATACCATGGATACCTTGTTCTCGATGTAGCTCTTCTTGGTGACGGCCTGCTCGATGAAGTCCTCGATGTTGATACGCAGGCCATCCGTGTAACGATGGTTGGGGATGCGCACGCACCAAGCTGCTGCCACCGTCACCATGTCCTCAATGGCCTTGGCGCAGTCCACCATGTTACCAACAAAATAGTTGTCGAGCTCGTCGGTGTTGCCACACAGCTGGAGATCGGTCCCGAGCGAGTCGGTAATTTCGATGAAGCTGTCGGCATCTGCTGGTTCGTCGACAATCACTACCTCGGAGCTGCTGGCTGCTGAGATGCATGGGTCGGGCCCAACTCTATGCGGGGTGCCGCTGAACGGCACGAACTCTCGGGTACGTGGCATCACGTTCTGATGTTGCAATTCGTTGAACATCAAACTGCTTTGGGCCAAAATGGCGCTACGGGTGGTCGTGCGTCGTTTTTTCGTTGTTGTGTGTTTGCGTGTTTGGAAGGGATGAAAGACAAGTGACGAGTCACCCACGAGAGAACTTCGAGTGGCACCTGCAGTGTCGGAGCTGGTAGGAGGAGGAGCAGTAGCAGCAGCAGCATCAGTAGGAGGAGGAGGAGGAACGCCCAAACCTCCCCGTGGTCAAAAAAATGGGTTTGCGAAACAGTGCGGTCGGAACCATTTTCTCAAGTTTTCCGAAGGGAAGTTGGAGACACCATCAAAAAACATGGTTTTCCGTAAGTTCTCGCAAACCACAGTTTCTTACCACATTGTTGGGTCAAGCGTGGCGCCCAAAGGGCCCTCCTCCTCCACCTCCTCCTCCTCCTTCCCCTCCTCCTCACCCTCCTCCTCCTCCGTCTCCGTCTCCGTCTCCTCCTCTTTCTCCTCCTCCTCCTCCTCCTCCTCCTCCTCCTCCTCCTCCTCCTCCTCCTCCCCCTCCTCCCCCTGCCGTCCTACTTTTCACCAGGAACTGGCCTGCGCCAAAACAATCACCCGAGGCGTTGGATTGATCAAGGCGCCGCACTTGGGCGCCCCCCGCGCGGGCGGGAGGAAGAGGCACCTACACCTGGGGGTGGGGGCCTGACGGGGGTGGGAGCCTGACGGGGGGGGAGCCTGACGGAGCCTTACACCTCCCCATGGGGGTGGGAGCTTGACGGAACCCTGCACCTCCCCCTCCCTCTAGGGGAATGGGGTGTCACACAACGGCTTCGCCCGTCCTCCTACACACTAGATTGCTCGCGATCGGCCCTGCCGACCGCGACGGAGCAGGATGGACAGGACGGGGGGGAGGATGAGGAGAGGATGAGGACGAGGAGGGTGAAGCGGATGAGGAGGAGGAGGAGGAGGAGGAGGAGGACGAGGAGGAGGAGGAGGAGGAGAGCGGGGAGGAAGGAGGAGGGAGTAGGAGGAGTAGGAGGAGAGGAGGAGGAGGAGCAGATCCGCTGCACTTAAGGGCCCCTTAAGTGCAGCGGGCTGTCTTGGCCTCCGGGGCCCCCCCGAAGGAGGAGCAGATCCGCTGCACTTAAGGGCCCCTTAAGTGCAGCGGGCTGTCTTGGCCTCCGGGAGCCCCCCCTCGCTTGAGTCTAACCTCTCCTCCTCCTCTCCTCCTTCCTCCTCCTCCTCCCTCCTCCTCCTCCCCTCCTCCCCCTCCTCCTCTCCTCCTCCTCTCCTCCTCCTCCTTTTCCCTTCTCTCCTCCTCCTCCCGTCCTCCTCGCCTTCCGCCTCCCCCCACCCCGTGGGGTCGATGCCTCCTCCCCTCACCCCTCTCCCTATGATTTCCCCCCTCCCGTCTCCCTCACCTTCCCCATCTGTGGATTTTTCCTCGCGGGGCACATCCCCGCCGCTCTGCATCGCATACGGAGGGTGCTAGCTAACGGCGAACAATCGCAACACCATCAACTATTTGCAACACGTAAGTACAGCCACCAAACGACTGTGTAAGTTGACCAATTCAGATCCAATCCACGAGTGTGTAAACCCATTCAGATCAATCGTCAAGGAAGCGCTTGTAATGGGAAGTCCAGCGATGTACCGCTGCACGGCCTGCTTCTCGAGCTCGGTCTTTGCAAGCGTCCTCAGCCATCTTTGCAGCCCTGCAGCGGTCCATCTCATCGTGGTAGGCCTTGGACCTCACCCTGTTTATCATAGTCTTGGCGCTGGGCTCACGACCATCCCAATGGTAATACAACCGTTGCTCACCTGATTCCTGCACGTCTGGAGGCGATGCTGGTAGATCTGCGTGTGTGCCACCATCATCAGCAGCAGCGTGACCACCATCAGCAGCAGGACGCTCTGCGCAAGCTGGCCTCCTCATCATTGGGGGCTTCCTTTTCTTGTCCCTGTTCAGCTCGGCGAAGTCAGCAGGGAGGGGCCCGACGTTGCCTTCTGATAGCCCAGCGGACCCCGACGAATAGACGGCTGCTAAGAACTCCTCGGAGGAAGCTTCCTGAAGCTTGACCGCTACTGTTGCCGCCGCAGGTGGTGGTGCCCCCGATGGCGATCCAGAGAACAGATTCCGTTCCAGGTCGTCAAATTCTTCTTGGGTTTCTGCTTTCGGGACGTCCAATGTCGAATGCGAGGTGGGCGCTTCATCAATGCTAGAGCCAAGAGAAATATGTGGGACCAACTTCCGCTTGATGGGCACCTCTTCTGGCGAGTCTGAGTCCGAATGCGAGGCATCGCGAGGGACGGGTGCAGCCTGGGGCTCGTCAACCGTGATCTGGATCTTATCTAGCAGCGTCTGAAGTTGCGGGAATGATTTCGGTGCCTTGTGCGGCGGTTTGGCCCTCAATGATCTCAGTGAGCGCATCTGGCACCGAAGGTTGTCAACCGCTCTTTCAACGTCAACGTATGACCACTCCATAGGGGGCTCCTGCTGACGAAGCCATTTGTCCACCTGCACCGCGAAAGGCCGCTGCTTAAGTTGGGCCCCGCGGGTCTCGTCCAGCAAATCAGACAACAACGAACGAGATTTCAACATAGAAGCCCAATTCGACGTACTCCCATCCTTGTTTCTCTTTCCGGCATTCCAGAGCTCACGGGGCTTGCACTGCGCCAACGGAACATTGTTACTCAACGCCTGAAACACAACTTTGTCGTCCAATTTCAAGCTTTTGCAAGTCGGCATGAATGTGCAGATCACAAAGACGGAGACATATGATCGCATACGCGATCGGGCAAGCATCGTGCCAAAACGGCTATGGCTACACGGATGTGGCGGTTGCGTTGGCGTGTGTTTTTGTTGTTTGTCTTTGTTCACCACCCACCAAACCACCCCAACCCAACCCGAAGGCTCAGATTTACCCTCGATTTCCAGTGGGGGGGGGTGTCGGGAAACATTGAACAAACACGTCTGGAACCCTTACCCCCCAACCCGAAATTCGGGTCTTCGAGTTGGGTTGGGGTGGTCTGGTAGGTAGTCATTTGTCGCCGAACCACCCGCACACACGATTCTAATTATATAAAAGGAAGTTCGGCCCTCCCCGTGTCTTCATCCCCCTTTCTCCGAAACACACATCCGTCCTTAAACCCCCTCCTCCAACACCAGTCACCCTCCCCTCCGCCTCCGCCACCGCATTTGTGGTGGTGAGTGGTGGTGGCGGTGGTCGCCGTGGTGGTGATGGTGGTCGTCGTGGTCGTGGTCGTGGTCGTGGTGTGGGTGGTGGGTGGTGGGTGGTGGGTGGCGGTGGGTGGTGGGCGGCGGTAGGTGGTGGGTGGTGGTGAGTGGCGTGTAAAAGGCATTGGTGGTGGTGGGCGGTGGCGTGGTGGTGGTGGTGGTAATGGTGGTTGTGGTGGTGGGTGGGTGGTGTGTGTGTATGTGCACGTGCGTGTGTGATGTGTGGTGTGTGTGTGGCGGTGATTGTGGTGGCGGTTGTGGCGTGTGCGCGTGCGTGCGTGTGCGTGTGCGCGGGGGCGGGGTGGTTGTGGCAAAGGTTATGGTACGTGTTGGTAATGGCGGTGGCGGTGATGG